ACGCATGGATCTGGGCGGTCTATATCAATTCTATATCGACTGAATCACTGAATTGGTAGTGATCCTCCTCCATGGTCCACACTCCATTAATTTGTGTTGCACACATTCATTAGGGTTAGGGCCCACCCGAAATGCTTTAGCACGCTGGGCCACGTGGTGTACCAAGCCTAAAGAAAAGTTGATCATCAGATTGAGAATTGAGAATTGAGAATTGAGATATGAGAAATGAGAATCCTTGTCTGTCTCTGCATTCCTGCACACTTGCCGGAGGGCTACAATTACATACTGTTTACACCTTTCTGCGTGGTTCAACCAACTTTGGCCTAAAGAAAACCGAGGGGGAGGAGATTAATTTGTTATAGTGAGACCGACCATCCAATTAACTAACTTTGTCTTTCCTTGCTTGTAACAGAAAACTTCTTCCACATTTCTGCTTTCCTTCTTTTCAGCTAAAGCTCATGCTCCCTTACGTCTCTAACTAACAAAGATATCTGAGGAACCATTCGATTTCAGTACTACTCGAGAGCTTTCTTTAGTCTTTACGGTTTGGGGCGGCCCCCACCTCTGCTTGCAAAAGTGAGCAGAAAAGGAAATCAAATGATCAGAAAAAGAGGGAGAGATTGAATAGGCCAGATAGATGATCTCACCTCTGTCTGTCTCTACCCTTTTTCTTTTTCTCCCGGTTTTGAGTTTTGACTTTGAGTAAGACAGAAGTTATGGGATTGATTCTCTTTGAGAAGAGAGAAGACAACAAGCCTTTATACATCTATTCAAACAAATGAGAGTTTAGTAGTTTACACAACCATTCAAACAAAATAGAGTTTAGGGTAAATTGTTGAAACTTTTTGCTGAAATTTTTCTTAAGTTTGATAATTGCAATTATCTTCTCTAAACTTTGTAACATAGTTGCAAGTAGACCCCCTCCGTAAGGATCCTCTAATAAGAGACATGAAAATGTTCAAAATACCCATGCAACAACTTTTTACTAAAATGTTTATTTTTCAATTTTTTTCCAAATCAATGGTTACTCTCAAATCCTTCCAATCTCTTTTTCAAAATTGATTTATTTTCTAAATTTGCCCTTCATATTAATCGCTTAAAGGTAAAGCTGCAATTTTAAACTCTATTTTTTTTTTGTTGGTCATAAAGTTTGTATTACTTTTTCCTATAGAAATCAAGCTCAATAGTGATTACATGGACATTTTGGACATTTTTCAGGTCTCTTGTTAGAGGATTCTACTTATAACTATGTCAAAAATTTAAGGGAGGTGATTGCAATTACTAAACTTTAGGAGAGGTTTCAGTAACAATCAAAAACTTCAAAGGAGGTTTTAGCAACGGTCAAAAACTTCAAGTGAGGTTTCAGCAATTTATCCATTAGATTAAAATACCATAAAGAGCAGCTTAGTCAAATCTACTATACATATATATATATATATATATATATATATATATATACATATATATAGTTGAGGTGTCTCCTAGGGGTGTTAATTGGACTGGATTTATTCCAATCTGATCCAATCCAATTTAATCCAATGAATATTTTGGATCATTTTAGACCAATCTAATTCAATGTTTAGACCATTTAATTTTTTCAAATTCGTTTTAATTTAAATTGATTATAATTCAAATCCGATCCGTCGATAGATATATTCTTATCTTATATCAATGGACCACATTGGTTTAATTCATTCCAATCCAATATAAATTTATTAAGGACAGACCAAGTCTAATCCAATTTAATAAATATTTTGGATCAAATTAATCCTCTAATATGAATTGTATGTCTAATCTGTCTAAATTGATTTTCTGACTGAAAGGAGTTGAGTCCAAAACCGGTCCATTGAAACCTTACTCTCTCCTTATCAAAACACCATACGGCTCTTACACGTTGGGGCCTACCACGTGCAACAAGAATGTCAGAATGGAATGGACTTATGGACCTGTCTACGCTTCTATCTCAAATCTGACAAACGAACGGTGGTCAAAGATAGTAACTATCGCGTTGCTACGATATCTTATCATGTGATATATAATGAAAATGCACCATTAAATGCCGCGCGGATTAAACATCTTGATCAGAAAAGATCCAACGGCTATACGTATTAAATTTGGTTGGGATGTTTTATGGTACAAAGAATCACGTGTTCTAAGTCATTAGTCCATTTTCTTAATAATATTGTATCTTAATTCAATTTAAAGTCTCAACTACGCCTTGTTCGTTTTTTTAGTTTTTGGTAATTAGGGGCGGATAAATTGGTGGGATATTAGCGAGTTTTATTAAGGTGATGTTTGGCATTTATTTTAGTGATTTTCATAATATCGGTCAAAAAGTGATTATTGAAATTAGTCGTTTTTAGGGATTACTTTTTTTATGATTTTTTTTTTATTTCTAGCTGATTCCGATTTTTTGAGGATGACATGGCATTAAATAATAACTCTAATAGAAAAATAATTGGCCCATGAAAATCAATACCACACAGACTCAAAGTAAAAAATTGGCTTACATGGCATAAATGATACAAAACAACAATTTTTGGTGATTTTTGAAAAATCATCAATTCCAGTGATTTCTAGATAATCGGCAAGGAGGAATTATCATTGATGCCAAACATCACCTAAAATGTTCGATTCTCGAATCTCAATGGTCTCAATTACCTAGTTAAGTATTACTCTCCATTCACTTGGATAAATAATTTTTTTCATTTATAAGGAAAATTGCTAACACTTCCTTCAATAATGACACTTTTATATATAAAACGGTCACTATTTAAGTTCAAAAAAAGAAAAACAGAAAACACTAAAAAGTACACTTACCCAAATAAATATTTCTCAGGAAGCATTTGCCTCGATAAATAATTTTACTCAGATAAATGGCTTCCCATAAAACAAACTAGGACCTAAACTTTTCACCAAAAAAAGCCCCAAAATTCAATGAACAATATTCGATTCCAATTTGTCTATTAAATCATCCGATACTTTTGTAGTACCCCCAACAAAAAGACGTAAGGCATCACTTGCCTAATTATCTCATCGGGTTTTTTACCCTCTGACCTGATTTCCATACCTTTGGTTTTATAATGTTGCCTAATGCTTGGTTAACTACTAGCTCAGCTCATCGGGCTTTTTACAGCCCGAACCAAATTTGATACAATCAAACCGTATACACAACTTCAGCTAAGCATGTAAACAGATCAAACCGATTATGATTCATGATATCCAAATTGGATTTGATATCTGATATATATCTAAAATTCAAGTTTGAATTTAATTTCGATTATTAGGGTTTTGGAGATTTAAATTCAGTTTGGTGCAAAATTTTATATTATATATATATATAACAGACCAGAAATCAAGAGGAGCTGTTAAGAAAAAACGAAAATAATGGATCTTTTGCGCTGGCTGTTCGGAGTTCGGATTTCCTATCCACACAAATTCTGCCTACATTTATCACAGTCACACATGAAAAACATCTCATCCCCTGCATAGTATTATACAGGAGGAGATGTTTCCAATTCACGGGAGATAGTGTGTTGTGGGTAGACGTGGGCAGGAGATCCAGACTCTAGTTGTTGCAGGCCCCATTATTGGCTTTTGAAGGTCTTAGTTTTAACCGACTTATTCATCAATGTGGAGAGTGGGGAGGAATTGGGTCTACAAGATAGAGATGTCCAATTGTCTAAGCCTCTAAGGCAAACCGCCACGAGAAAGCAAGGAACATGGATTTAGTGGTTCTAACTTCAAACTTGTTTGGTCCAAGTTCTAAGGCCACAATTGGTCCAACCCAAACAACGGAAATGAAGAGCTACCTGATCAAACCTCTAAGCCTCTAATGCCCAACTGCTGGGGGGGTAGTATATATCTAAATTCGATTGAGGTTTATGCATTTTGGGTTATAGGGCTGGATTTGGTTTTAAAATGAATTAGTCCTACAACCAGATGTAGATCCTTGATGCAAGTAGACTTAAGAATCGGGTCAGGTCAATTCAAGCCGGTCAAGGCAGTTTTGGGTCATTCCGAGCTGGGACACCTTTTGGGTTAAGGTTGATAAAGGCTAGACCCTAATCATATATATTCAGGTTAAGGTTGATCCTAGTGTTGCAATCAAATCAAGGTCTAATCGAATAATTCAAGTTTGAGTTTGAGTTCAATTCTGATTAAGTTCGAATTAGGGTAAACTTGTTTAGCTTTTTGAATTTAAGCTCAGCCATAAAATGTCCGATACAAAAGCATGTAAGTTTAGCTCGACATACATGCATGTATATATGTTATATGTACATGCATGCATATATATTTTATAAAATATAAAAATATATTTTTATATTATATATATAATATAAGAATATGATATATATTATAAAAAAATATATCTTATATATTTATATAATATAAAAATATATTTATTTTTGAGCTTTCAAGCTGAACTAAATCTCAGAATATTATTTAATCAAATTGAAGTTGAAGTTGAACCACAAAATAGAGTTTGAATCAAAATCGAACTTGAACTTGAACCTGAATCTAATAGTATTTTAATTGAGGAGAGCCAAGACATACAGAAGAAATTCAGTTTGGCTCAATCCAATTACGCTCCGAATTGATCCACGAGCCAATAGTTCAACAGATTGGGTCTGTTAGTTTTTTTATCAAATCAACACTTTTACAAAGAATACAGGTTTATCCATCTAGTTCAAATGGTTTGAACGATCCAACCATCTGGGTCAACACCAATTTAGAATTACTGGTTTGAAAATAGGTCATTCGTGAGTCTATGACCTGAGCCAAACTAGACCGCCTTGTCGGGTCGATGCGGGTTAGGTCGAGTTTTGCAAATGTGTTTATGTTTCTAGTGACATGTTTGTTTGGAACCCCGAAAGACTACTAGAAACTGGAGAGTGAAGTTTAAGTTATGTTTTTTACTTTCTGTTTTTTTTTTTGGTAGAAATAGAAATAACAATGTAAGTAAATCAAGGACTCCACGTTACTTGGGCGATGCAAATGCATGTGAGGTTTACTGACATCCCCAAGTGATGTCGGCGTATGTACGCTGTGCATTCCAACCCCCTCCCTCCAGCCAGTCTCCGTTCCCCATCAATCCTCTCTAGTCCAAGTATCCGACTCTTGTCTCTCTTTTTTTTTTTAATATTTCTCCTAATCACCACCTATCAAGACACAAGTCTCTCTCAAGTCTCAACTCTTCAGTCACTTCATCTTTTTTTTTTTTTGCTTTTCCCAATCTAATATCAGGGCTGAGTTTCAATATCTATATATACCTCCCCCCTAAACGACGTAGTAATAAACAAAGACGAAGAAAAAGAGCAGGGAATACTAGGAAGAAAGAATAAACAAAGTGAGAAAACAGCAGCACCTCGCTGCTAAGATGACGATTCCCTCTTCTTCTCTTCTTTCTCGTTATCTTCTTCTTGTTCTTGTTCTCTTTGTGCTTCTTCTGGGGACGTCGTCTCGTTTGGTTAAATCTGGTAGTCATGACTATCAGGACGCATTATCCAAGTGCATCTTATTCTTTGAGGGCCAAAGGTCCGGGAAGCTACCGACAGACCAGCGTCTATCGTGGCGGTCAGATTCGGGGCTGGGCGACGGAAGGGAGAATGGGGTGGACTTGACCGGCGGCTACTACGACGCCGGGGATAACGTCAAGTTCGGCTTCCCCATGGCCTTCACCACTACAATGCTGGCATGGAGCGTCATCGAATTCGGCGACATGATGCCCCCGACCGAGCTACGGAATACCCTAGTTGCCATCCGGTGGGCCACCGACTATCTTCTCAAGACCGTCTCCCAACCTGACCGGATTTTTGTTCAGGTAAAGGCACTGGCCCCGGCACTTAATTAATTTACTTTTAAAGAAAAAAAGGAACCAAAGAAAATTCATGTTGTGGGCCCGTTGTTATTGCCTATATTGGCCTTTTGGGGTGTGTTTCCCAAACCGAAGTCCGGATTACTACCCTACCCGTGAAGATGGGTTGTCGTCGCTCATTGACGGTGGGTCCCATAGGTCCACTGATCAAGCTGAATGGGTCATGGGTGTGTGTGTCATCAGGGTCGTTTTCGGTCAATGGTAGTAAATTGGCTAACCTTAACCTTCCCAGTGACTAGTTACGTTCTCATCTTTCGTGTAAAGTACCAGAGCTACTGCAAAACCAATCTGCACCTAGAGTAGAGGATGGTGTCTCCTTTCAACGGAAGTATCACCACCATTCAAATGGTACCTAAAGTCCTAGACCACGCGATGATCAATGTCCTATTTAATATATTTTATATGGGACCAACTCTGCCGCCCATCAGAATTCACAAGTGGGCAGTTGGCTCTGCATGCCACTGCCACCGAGCAACAATCAACTGACAAAAGAAACGATAGGAATTTGTAGGGCACCCACCTCTCGTGACTGGGTAGTTGCTGAATCCATAAAGTTTAGGTTGTTGATGAAACTTTCGGTGAAGTTTAGTAAAATTACTTTCCTTAAATTTTCTTTTCTGATATGTTGCAATTTATATCCTTTTTAAGAAATTCTAAAAAAGCCATAAAAATGTTTAAATTACCCATGTAATTGTTTTTGATTAAAATATTTATTTTTCAAATTTTTTTCATTGTTCAAATTTTCTTCTTGATATCAATTGCTCAAAGGTGAAGTTATAACTTTAATTTTTTTATTTTTTATCATTTATAAAATTTATATTGTTTTCTATAAATCTGAAAATAATAATTACATAGGTATTTGAAACATTTTTGTATTAGATGATTGTAATAGAGGAATTCTATTTGCAACTGTGTAAGAAAGTTCTAATTGCAATTACCCTCTTGTGAATACTATTAAATATTAATATTATTTCATCGTGATTAAAAATGGTGCAATTTAACGAGATTAATAAGGTCCTCATTTTACGTATTAAAAACACCAATCATTTGTCGTATTCACGTGCACCTGTCTGTCGACTGTACAATCAGAATCAACTTCTCTACGAGCCCAAATCCCTATGAGAGGAGAGACTCCGGCTGCTAACACTACTCTCTCTCGATGCTTTCTCTGTGTTGTTACTTGTTAGGTGGGGGATCCGCTCGTAGATCACAACTGCTGGGAAAGACCGGAGGACATGGACACGGTTCGGACCGTTTACAGCGTCGACTCGGCAAACCCTGGTTCGGATGTAGCGGGCGAGACAGCCGCAGCTCTTGCAGCATCTTCTATGGCGTTCCGATCATCAGACCCGGCCTACGCCGAGACGCTCTTAAGTACTGCCATCAGGGTCTTTGAATTCGCAGACAATCACAAAGGAGCTTACAGCGATAATGAGAGTATCAGAGCCGGGGTGTGCCCCTTTTACTGCGACTTCGATGGGTATCAGGCAAGCCATCCATCCTATCCTCTCTTGGGTCGGGTAGTAAAATTGTAGTCACTCACACCAAAAGATGAGATGGGTTAAATTTTGTGTGGCCGAGAAACTTCCAACCCTACACACCGGATCAACCATGCCCCCACCCCTGAATCAACATGGACCCGACCGACTGGATCGAGGGAATCCTACAGACTAGAGGCTACAGCTAATGACTAGGGGTATAACAATCGAATTCGAATTTGATTAGAAAAATCTGATAGTCGAATTTGATTTAATATCCGACGGATATTGAAAATTAATATTCGAATTTAAATTCGATTAAATATTTGAATATTCGATTCGATTAATTAATTATTTTAAATAATTAATAAATATATAAAATATATATTTTATTGATATAAAATATATAAATATATAATTTATTTATATATATAAATTATATAAAATATTTTATATATTATATATAATAATTAAATAATCGACCGAATTCCTATATTTATTGAATCGAATCAGATTATATTCAAATTCGATTCAATTATTTCGAATGTCAAATTTAAAATTAGATTTTTAAATACAGTTAACATCCCTACTAATGACCCATTCGTGGCTTTCGGGTATTGCAGGATGAATTGCTGTGGGGAGCAGCGTGGCTGAGGAGGGCCTCACAAAGCGATTCGTATCTCAACTACATAACAAACAACGGTAAGACCCTCGGCGCTGATGACAATATCAACGAATTCGGATGGGACAACAAGCACGCAGGGCTTAACGTTCTCGTGTCCAAGGTTAGAGTTATATGTGAGAAAGCGGGTCTACTTGACCCGACCCGATTAGGTCTGAAGAAAATTTCTATGTAGTGTAGGCTGCTCAAGGTTCTGATTTTAATTGAATACAGGAATTCCTGGAAGGGAGCGTGTACTCACTTGAATCATACAAAGTATCGGCGGACAGTTTCATGTGCACGCTCATACCGGAATCGTCGTCGTCGCACATCGAGTACACTCCTGGTGGACTCATATACAAGCCTGGAGGAAGCAACATGCAACACGTAACCTCCATCGCTTTCCTCCTTCTCGTCTACGCTAATTACCTGTCCCGTACATCACAGACCGTTAATTGTGGGAGCGTGTCTGTGGGATCCGCTTCTCTCCTTCAACAGGCCAAGAAGCAGGTACGATAACAATATGGGTCGGGTCGAGATCCAAGAGTATCGCTGGTGGGCAACCAGTATCAATCAAAATGTCCATCATAACCAGTGATCCAGAAAACAAATTAAACCTTATTTGTCTGTATGTGAGGGTACGTAACGTACGGGTGTTTGATATGCATTATTTAATTGACACTTGTGATAAATGGGCAGGTGGATTACATCCTAGGAGATAACCCGATGGGCATGTCGTACATGGTAGGCTACGGCGACAAGTACCCGCAGCGGATCCACCACCGTGGCTCGTCCATACCATCCGTGAAGGACCATCCTCAGTTCATTGCGTGCAAAGAGGGCTCCGTTTACTTCGGGTCATCCAGCCCAAACCCGAACACTCTCGTCGGAGCCGTGGTCGGAGGACCGGGAGAAGACGACGTTTACGAAGACGACCGGGCCAACTTCCGAAAGTCGGAGCCAACTACCTACATCAACGCTCCATTGGTTGGCGTCCTTGCCTATTTTGTCGCCAACCCTAATTAACGCGTCTGGATTACTCTGGACCACACACATGTACATAACCAGAATCCCACATAAATTACAACAAAGAGAAGAAACCAATTGTCTCTCATCTTGTGAGAAGCAAAGAAGGAAGAGGCTTGTTACAAATTAACGATTGTTGTGAGGTGCGTGTGACTCGTGAGGGAAGGGGGAGAATACCTACTCTTGGTATGGTATTGTTGTTGGGTTGGGGCATTATAAATTTTTGTGCAGTTTTTGTTTATTGAGTTGAGTGATCAATCAACAATGAATACACAATAGAGATGCTGTTTGTTTTATTAATTTATTTGCTTGGTAGAGAGGACAGATTCTCGTGCACGTTCCGACTGATCTTATAATCAAATATAGGGAAAGAAAAATAAGCATCTGCATGCGAGGACCATTAATGGTCAATTGGTCACCTACCCTTGATTTGAGAGGATTGAATGAGATGAAACCCAATCCATATCATTATAGGTGCTTGGTGGGCCATTTCTTGGATTTAAGACATGTTTGGTTTTGTTCCAACATATTCTTTACCACAGTTAGGATATGGGCCTTTTAGAATTTTCCCACCCCTTGCTCAATGATTAATGGGTTGGTGTAGGAACTAGAAAGGCACAGCATTAATGGACTGGTTTTGGATTGGACCTTAAACTCAATTTGGATGGATTGGGATCTATTAATAGAAGATAAAAGTACAAGTGTTAATGGACTAAGTATGGATTGGAACCAATCTAAAATAAAACCAATTTAAACAGATAAGATAACCCAGACATTAGATTGGACCTGATTCATTTGTAATGGATTCATATTAGACCAGATAGAATTGAATCATATCCGGTCTGATTAACACTTCTACTCACCACTGGTGTTCTGGTCTGGCATAGGGGAATGATTTTCTGTCTTCTGAGTGGATTGGAAAGAAGAATGATTGGTAAGTTGAGTTAATCTCGGAAGTCGGCATCAAAGTTGTTGTTTAAGACAACTTGTTTGGAGGATGTGGTTGATTCATGGATTTAAGTTCCTCGAACTTTGTGTTTATCTTTCTTTAGTATTTGTTTAAGACACAACTTGTTTGGAAGATGTGATCCAAATATTGAAATACCCTAACTCCTGTATGTTTTGTCAATTTGTCCTGTCCAAAAAGATAAAAGAACGATTCCAAGGCCAAACCCTTTGGCCGCCCTCATCTTCCTGATTGTACTGCCATGACATTAAATAAAAGGAAAAGTTGTAACAGATTAAGAAAAGAACAAATTAATTAAAAATGTCATATGGTGAAACTGCATTTAATGTATATATATATATATATATATCAAGGTGAAACTAATATTTTTATTGCTAGAGGCACTTTGGTCAAATACATATTTCTATCTTTTCTATGAGCAAGAAAGCCTATTCTTGTAGTCAAAGGGCCTATATGTTACTAGGTAAACCTAAGAGGTGAGAGATATTTACCCAAACCTCAAGGAAATTATAAATATATCTATGAATGAATTATGGAAGTATAAATAATTTATTTTTTTAATAAAATGGATAAATTATGGGTTACCACAGGTAGTGACATTTAGCTCTTTGAACTTTCGTTTGTAACATTGATGTACTTTGCACCTTAAGATTCTAACACTTTGCCCCTTAGTTAACTATATGTTAATTTGTTATGATACTAAAAAGATATGATACTGGTAGGGTTTTGACCAATTAAAGAATAGTGTGAATTTTGATGAAAATCATATGATTGCTGATGTTGTTCGATCCGAAGTATTTTGAATCAAGACTGTAGTTAGATAATCTTGTCAACTGGATCAGGTCGAGGTGAAAGGACGAAGCCGTATACCGAAATCTGCAATTATAAGGAGAGTCAGAGGCCCAAGTAGTTGTTCTTCGGGTAGACACTTCGATGCTCAAGTTAGCGAGTGGTAAAGAGATTGATCAAGATGAACTGAGGTATGTGGGCTGGTCGAGACCGAGATGAATGCAAGAAGGGTCATTGATTGAGTGTGGTGTACCTATTTATAGTTGGACATCCGTGTTTGGATCAGATAGGGTTCTCGGGATTGTTGGGATGAGGTTGTCCACCGAGGTCTTCGAGGGGATTCCCCCTTCCCTGGTGGAGTCTGCTTCATTGTCTGTGTGGGACACTCCTTCTTGGCTGCACCCATCCTTCACGTGGTTTTAGGTGACGATGCTGACATGGCCCTAAGGGGGAGGCCACGGAGTCAACCACGTGGTACCTTGGGCCAACTTAGCAACCACCCAAACACCACTCCCCTAGTTCAGAAGTCGAGGAGTGAGGTGCTCAACCACAGACGGGTGGGAGAGCTTTAAAGACCTCGACTGAGGAACACTAGTTTGCGAGCCGGAAAGCCAATGGTCGAGTCGGCTTAGTGGGTGGATCAGGTGGTTCAACACATACAATTTCCTTACGGTTTGGTAGACGCGTAGTTTCGTCTTCCCGAGGTCATGCTCATGCAAAGTGCGATGGCGATCCTACACCAATGATCTGATTTGATCTAGACCATTGGTTGCCTTTATAAAAAGGGGTAGGCAAGCCATTTCACTTTGTCATTTGGAGAAAGTTTGTGCCTTGGAGTTCAACTGATGTCCCTTGCTTGGTATTTCAGGTGTCTCGAGCTTCTTTTTTTTCTTCGGTAAGATGTCTTCCACTACATCTTCCTTGTCTTCCCTTTTTATTGGGTACACTTCGGGGGATGAGAGTGAGAGTAGTCCTCGACACAAGGCAAACGAGGTTAGGTTACCAGAGATTGATGACAATATGGCCAAGGTCGATGACAAGAGCAACACTGAGGTCCAAGAGATTGGTGCCCGGGAGACTGGTGTCGATGAGGCTACTGAAGCCGATGTAGAGTTAGAAGGGAAAACCCTCAAAAGGAGATTTGGGGAGCGGTTTGCCTCGGCTCCGTGTAGCCTTTCTTCGATTGACATGGCTCAAATCCGGGAAGTGTATCGCATTCCCGAGGAGTATGAACTGAGGTATCTCAAGATCAAGGAGAAGGCCAATTCGGCCCATCTGGAGAAGGCCACGACCTCTTCCTGCTCCTTTTCTTCTTCTTTAGCTCTCTTTTTCTCACACGGGTCTCCTAATATCCTCCCACTCCTTAAGATTTTAACAACTTTGGCATTTTCAGGCTGAGGGTTCTTAGGAGGTGGTTGAATTTGTTGTGGAGGAAAATCTAGTGGATGATTTCTAGGAGTCGCAACCGATTGACTCGGTATTTGCCCTACTTCTCTCCTCGCCTTGGCTTCTGCTAGCGGTCTTATTTGGTTCTCTAATCTATTGATGGACTGCTGTTGATTTAGGATAGCTACTGAAGCTGCATGAATTGGTCATCTACTATACGGGTTTGAGGAGGTTGAGGGTAAGCCTGATATAGTTGGGCCGATTGGTTCCTAGGATACATCTACTGAAATTGGGTAATGCCCTTGTGGCCTCTGAAATTGCTGGGCCATGGAGTTAGATGAATGGTACTGTTGGGACTATGTGTAGGTTTGCATGGTTGAGCTGGTTGAGTCCCAGGGTAATCATTGTACTCCTAGTGGGTTTGGCCTTCAGACCATTGAGAGTGCACATCTAGTAAGGGGGTTTCTTGGGCTTGGGCCCTATAAGTGAAGTTGGGCTGATTTTCCCACCCATGGTTATATGGACTAAAGAGTGGGTTAGCATTGGGTTGGAAAAATCTGTTGGCTGCATGTACTTGGTTTGGACTGACTACTTGACATGGGCCTGCTATAGGGCACTGGCTAACATGATGGGTTGGGCTTGCATAGATGGAACATGATGGATAGGCTGACAAGGTTGGGTATGGGCCACTTTGTTGACGATATGCAAGGACTTGGTCAATTCTGTGGGCCATCCCATTAATCCTGTCTAATTGTCGATACACATGGTTCCAATCTATCTGTGGCTCAGGTTGGAAGTAGTTTTTCATTCCACAAACTCCGGCCATTGAATTCATTTTATTTTAACCCCCCTTTTTTGAAATTTGAAATTTAAATTTTGAATTTTAATTTCAAATTTAAATTTTGAAATATAATTTCTACAATTTAAACTCAATTTTGAATTTTTATTTTTTTTTAATTTTTTTATTTGAAGATTGAAATTTAAATTTCTGAAATTTAAATTCAAATTTGAGTTTTTAAAATTTTATTATTTTATTATTTTTAATTTTTTTGAAATTTGAAATTTAAATTTGTAAAACTTAAATTCAAATTCAGATTTTGAAATTTAAATTCCTGAAATTTAAATTCAAATTTGAATTTTTAAATTTTTAAAAAAATGCAAGCAAATCAACCACATGACTTAGGGGCTGACCTAGGGTTTCCTAAACTAGTGGTTCAACCAATGTGAATCCTCTTAGGTTCACTTGGAATTACACCACTTCCTTTGGTTAGTCAGGTAAGAGGTGGGGATGTGGGAGGCTCCCCTTGCTCTCGTAAGGACCTAAGTAAGTAACCACAAAACCCGCTTTGGCGTAGCCGTTTAACCTTTTTTCTTAGACACCAACCGTCGGTTATGGAAAGTAATTACAAGCTTTCCTAAAATTCAGCACACCTTTGGACCAAGTGTAAGGCTTCCCTAAAGGATCTTTCTATCCAAATTTTAAATTAGGGTTTAGGGTAAACCGCACGTGAAGGGTGGTGATTTTTGGGCCAAGAAAGGGTGATGAAATCTCCACCTTATCTTATTTAAGTTGGGTGCCCTTAAATGGATTAACGAAACAAAAGCAATTGGAATGCAAATGCAAAACTTTTAAAATATTAATTATTTGTTTATATTTTTTTGATTTTTTATTATTTTATTATTTTTTTTGAAATTCGAAATTTTAAATTTAAATTTCAAAATTTGAAATTCAAATTCAAATTCAGATTCGAATTAAAATTAAAATTTAAATTCAAATTCGAAATTTAAACTCAAATTCAAAAATTTAAATAATTTCCTATTTAACGATTAATTATTCAATTAAATAACTAAAAATACAGAATTAAATAAGGCCACAAATAATTATAACAAACAGAAAATAAAAGAATTAATTATGCTAAAAAGATTAACAACTACCAAAATAAATTCTAACAAGAAAATTTCTATTCTAAAAATTAAACTAAAAATAAAATATACAAAAGAAAATTATGCTGCAATAAATAAAATAAAATAAAATAAACAAAAAAATTGAAATAAAAGAAAAACACAAACCTAATAAGATAGAAATTCGAATAAGAAATTAAAATAAAGAAAGAAAAATAGATCTAGAAACTAAAGAGAAAAAAATAATAATACTAAA